TACAAGCACGTGGCGACAGTGGAAAGGAAAGTGCCATTATAATGAACTTTATAAGGAATGATGAGAGTAATTCTTCAACTTTCCACTGGATTCAAAACTCATACATCTATCATAGAAGCTGCAGATCATTTTTGTGCTGCAATCTACAAAATGAAACTCTGGAATTGGTCAAAATGGAAATCAGCAGGTCAGACTTTAAAGAAAACTGAAAACTCAGTGGCAATGCAGAAAAGTTTACATTTATAAATATCTAGCTGGCTAGAAAACTATTTTCATCCCTAATGCTATCCAGAAGCCCAAAAAGAGCAAAATATTTAATAAAATGATCAATAATAACCTCAATATAAAGGGGGTGTTACACTAAAAGCATTGAAATTAAATTTAAACCAGAAATCAAACTAATCAAGCTAGTAAAAATTGGAGCTATGTCCATGCATTAACCCACGTTGTAAGAAAGACAAAATAGAAATAAATACACAAATCAGCTGATTTGAGTTTTATAAATGGTTTAAAGTTCAGTTTTTTTCTGTTGGCTAAAAATGCATTTTCTGTCAATGAGTGTGTCACCAACAGCCTGCACTTTAATAGACATGTTATAGCTAAATAAAATACATTCCTATGAAGGTTAAAGGCATTCAAGGCACAGCTGGATTAAAAAAAAAAAAAAGCCTGCCACACTTTATTTTTCTCATTTAATTCTTGGATGAAAATCTCAGAAGAAGTTAAGATCCAAATTGGTCGGGAAAAGCTCGACTGCTGCATCTCCAACTACAGGGAGCATCTGAACCGCCGGGGGAAATAAGCAGTCAAGTAATATCTGTTAAAATGTTCCTTTTCCAAACTACTTTATCATGACTTCTGAGTTTTACTGGACTAAATCGAATGAGCAACACATCCTCCAGTCTCAGATGTGCAGAACTCCAACTACAGAGATATCAGGACACGGTTGTTTAGGAAATTATATGCACTACTGGGGCCCGATGCTGAACGCACGCCTTTAGACCTCGTGTGTAATGAAAGCTGTGTTATCTTTCTTTAAAACAAAGAAGTTTTCATGGTTCAGCACTTTAAAGCCGACTGCCTGCTCTCTGCCTCTTTCTAGTCTGATGTAGTTGTAGAAACGCCGCCATTTGTTCCCCTGCGTTTTTGATGTTTTTCCCCCCAACGCATGCTGATGTATGCCCGGCCCAACATTACGGGAAAGCAGAAAATGTGATGAAATGAGTTCGGATGGGAGACCTGTGTGCCGGCAACATGCTATCACTGTGTCCATTCTGCTGCGATGGATCTCATCACTCGCGCTGCCACACTCAAATATCTATTAGGGCAGGAGGTTGACTATTTTTTGATGTGTGGAAATAACATTTTGACAAGATTGCTGTTGATATTTTACCATCACTGGAAAGATTTACTTTCTGGGGAGGAAAAACTGCTATCAGAACCGATTTCTCCACATCATTTAAACATATAGAAACTGCTCCCTCCCTCTGCTAGAAACACACTGAAGTATAAACTGAAGCATTACCACAACGCAATTTGAGTTCTCAGAAAATGCGAGCACTGCTGGGAAATTAAGTGTGCCTTCAAAACAAATAAGAAACTCAGATAGGTTGGCTCAGAAGCTGCACACACACAGACACACACATGCTTCAATTATGTAGCAAGTTCTGGCAAACGTAATGTGGGTGACCCAAAACCCAGTATAAAAACCCCAAGAGGAAGCTGAATATAATACAGACTTAAACAAGGGCACCTTAGACCTGAAGGGAGGGAGGCATAAGATGTTCAAAAGAAAAAGGGAATCGACTCGGAAGCTCTTCACGCAACAATTGAATGACATAAATTTCCTGCGCCACCTTTTTTCATTGGGCTTAAACAATCAAATCAGCGATCCAGCTAATCTGAGTCAATGGCACTGAAAGTCACCTTGGACATCAAACTAACAAACCCCTGGATATTTTCACCAGATAATCCAGCAGCATGCATCAGGAGCCACTTAAATATATTTTTATGTCTCTGACATCAGAAACACTTTCATCAAATGTCCTCCAGAGTTCAGCAGCTGATGCACTTTGAGGGATTATTACTGAGAAAAAGGAATAAATAAATCTAAAAAAATAAAAAAAAAGATATGTTGTGTTGGCATCAGTCACCTCAGAAACGTGGTAATTAGATTATGCTTTAATCAACCAATGTTCATCCTTCATTTTGTCAAGGAGAAGTAAATTGGCTTTGCATTTAGCTCAGTTGTCGGGACTGTTTCCCAACAGGTGCGCTGCAAAAGTCAAACTTCAGTTTTCCTGCTTCAGTTTCAGGTTTTACTGACAATAAACCATCATCTTCATGAACAGTTGGCCTCATCAGAGCGCCTGATTTTCATAATATCCATGCATGTTGAGTTTCTGGTATAGTTTAAAACATCAGTTTTTACTTATACTCTGTTATTCCCACTGTGTGTGTATGTGTGTATCTGTGTGCGTGTTATCCGGAGGACTTTAAAGCTTAGGTCGGATGTTCTCCCAAATGCAGAGTCAACCACACAAATTTCCATTTTCCATTTCATCTCCCTATTAATATTTCTCAAAATCCGCCTCCAGCACGTGTCTGTGCACCACGATGCCATATTTACAATTATTCTCAGCATCGGTATTAGATGTCTCTATATCACAGGACGCGTGGGGACTGATGTTGATCTCGCTGCATCAAACGGAGCATCAGGAAACATCAGATCCTGCGAGGTAAACTGCGCTGCGCACACAGCCTTGTTGGGGGCCACCTGTCCTACTTCAGCCCTCCCTCTCCCCTCCTACCCTTACACCTAAACAGCGCTTAGTACTTACGTGTAGTGCTGTGGGAAGTGGTGGGTCCCGGCTGTCGGTGTGGAGACGCATATAATAAGTACAGTTTGTACGGCGAAGAGGCAGAAAACGCCGATCGACTGCGCGCAGATCGCCATTTTCCATTAAATATTCAAGAAACTGGGAGAAATAAGAGAGAGTACCGGAAGGACAGACAGTCTCCCCCTCTCTCTCTCTGTGTGTGTGTGTGTCTCTTGCAGCTGAGCTAAGAATAAACCGAGCTCCGGAGGAAAGTGAGCGGTAGGAGGTGAACGGTCGCCGGACGCTTCTGGACACTTCAGCCCCGCGCTGTGAGGGGCTCCGCCGGAGGCGCACACGCCACGCAGAAATTTGGCACCAAAATAAATGATAGAAGCAGACTCAGGAGGCGAGGATCGGGGGAAAGATGCTCAGCCGCTGTTGCTGATGTGCCCGCCTGGCTGCTGCCTGTTCGCGCACTCGCTGTCCTCCCTCCCCTCTCTCTTTCTCTCTCTCTCTCTCCCAGCTAAAGCGCACATTCGCTCCCTTTTTTCTCCTCCGTCTTCTCCAGTGCAACAACAGCCATACACGGTGAAGCTCAAAGCGCCGCCACTGTTCCCCATTACGCTTTCAAAATAAAACCATTTGTAGTTTCTGGTGCAAAACGTCGCACTAAAGTGACTGCGCGCAGCCCATTGCGCACTGCTTTTCCCAGAGAATGTTTTTTAAAACAACTTAATCCTCTCTAAATTATGATGACGTTAAATTTGACTGCGCACTTATTTTACGACATTAAATGCGCAAAGCGAGTTTGAGAATTGCGTCTTTTGTTGACTCAGCTTTGACCTCAGTTTTTTTTTTTTTTTTAATTATTTTATTTTTTAGGCCTAACTTCCTGTGTTCCACCCTCTGGCTCACTTGATTCATCTTTTGGCACATCAGAGGTCCTTCCTCCTTCACCAAGCGGCCCGTTCCTGTGCGCTCGACGGGGGCGCGCATCAGGCCACCTCCTCCTGACGTCCCCCTCCTCTTCCTCCCCCTGTGCCTTCTTCACAAACTCTGGATTAGAGGCAGAAATCAAGGCTTTATTTTGCTAATTAGAGGCTCGACTCTGGAGGGGCCCGTTGTATTAACTGGAGTGTAAACATTCAGCAATCACAGGCTGATCCGCAACTACATTTGTTCTACTTATTGTCGCATCTGGTCCAGTGAACGAGTTTGAATGGATGCAAAGAGAATTAATAACGTTATTTTGGAGCTGAATGCGAATGTTTCATTCTTTTAAAAGGAGGAGATTTGTGTTGAACGGATGAGCACAGCTCACATGTTTGGAGTGCCTACAGTCAGGCCTGTCACAATAAGCGATAAGTCAATTAATGATAAATTAAAACAAATCAATTTCCATTTTCGAAGATTTTTATCTTTCTACCAAAACCCAGATGACAAAACTCTTCAGTCTGGTGTTTTGGTTTCAACTAGATCTTTTTTTGAAGGATAATTTTATTTACATAGACATCATAATTCATTGTATTTATTTCTGTTTTGTTTATTTTTTTAATGTCTTGTGTTAAATATTCATTAGAATTTAAAGTTGATTAATCGTTGAGAATCTGTTATTGCATTAATAAGCCTTTACTATTATATTACTTGAAAATAATCTCAAAAACAACAATATTATCGTTTATCACGATAACTTCCGGGACAATTTATCGTCCAGCCAAATTTGGCCGACCTATAGTTCATTCTGCCATTTTACTACACAAACAGAGCAGGAGAAAATGATCCATAAGGGGAAATTATTTTCAACATTTTTGCAACTGAACCTTTAAAAAGTTTCCCAAGGGTTTGTACACAACACCCCTCAACTGTGAACGGTTTTTGGAGGAGCTTTCATGTTCAAGTCTTTTTAGATATGTCTGGACCAGCTTTGTCCATCTGGACAGACTGGATTTAGGTCTGGACTTTGACTGGGCCGTTATTCTATGCTTTAATTGAAATTATGAACCTTGTCCAGGATCCTGTGCGTCGTGACACGTCGTGTTTCACATCCAGGCCGAATGCTACATTTTGTTCCCCAATCAGAGCATCTTTTATTTCCTGGGTCTGCTGCGTCCACCAATTTCTTCTCATCATTGTCAAGGTTAGTTTTTTGACCCAGATGCAGAAACCACTGTGAGAGCGTAGTAAGGTTTGGACATTTATTAAATAAATAACAGGAATCTGTTTTGGCAAGGTCAGTTCGTCTGAAAGGATGAGAGGAAGAGATGTTAGCGAAGCGGCAGGAATAATGGAGGAAATGTTCTGAGGATGAGATCAGAGCCGGCTTATGAGAGGTAACAGCGCAGAGGTGGAAGATCCTGTTGGTTCAGAGGTAAGTGAAGTTGTTGATCCAGAGGAGATGCATCACCTGCTTGTTGTCAGGTGATGTGTGGGAGAGGAATTCACAGGTAGACGGAGCTGCAGGCAACGACCAGAGGCTGAGCTTCTTACTGGGAAATATGGAGACTTTGGTGTTGGTTTAATGGACACTGGAGATGTGGAGGAAGCAGAAGGCTTCAGAAAGTAAGGATGTGTTTTGGATAGATGGTTAATTTTCTTCAGTTTGGGAGATCGGTGATCGGCCGATACTTGAATATGAAGCCGATCTGATCAGGTGGAAAAATCATCCACTGTTTGACAGACTGACCCACCAGCTCATGTCTGTACTTTAGTTGCTCCACTGTTGCCAATTCAGCAACTTTCTCGCCATATGTAGCAACATTTCAGCCCCCCCAAAAAATGGTATAAAATCGGAATCGGCAGGTCAGGCTTCTTAAAGATCGGTAATCGGCCAGAAAACTGCAATCAGTGCTATCTGCAATCTGCTACTTTCTTCTTCTACAACTTCCATTATTTACTGTTATATATGCAAGCTTTATATTTTCTCTCATTTTTCTTGTATAACAGCTCCATGTGGTTTGACACATAATTTGTTGTGAATTGGCACAGTATAGATAAACTGTATTAACTCTGGTAAGACATTTTCCAGAGCCGATCTAAAGAAACAGAGAAAACAACATGGAGCCTGAATGTTTGGTTTGATTCCACCAGTTCAGATCGGCCATCAGACACCGAGTGGTCGTCACGCAGCTCCTTATGGACTCAGGCTCTCACACCTGAGAGCAATCAGCTGCATCGGGAACGCCCACCTGTCCCTGGAAGTGGAGGTCAATACACACGCACACACACACACACTCCAATCATGAAGCGATCAGAGGATGAGAGGGAAAATCTAAGTCTTCAAAAACATGCCTGACTTATCAGATTTGTACATGAAATCATGTGTAAGCCTGTCACACTAAGCAATAAATGAATAAATTGCACAATAAATTTAAATAAGCTCAATAATTTCCATCATGATTGATATTTTTTAAAGAGGAATTTTGTTTATGGAGACGTCACAATCCAGTTCATTTATGGTTTTGGTTGTGTGTGATTTCTATTTTAGAATATCCAAATTGTCCAACTTAATCATAACATAATCTGTAACTAATAATGTAAATTTTAAAAAGTAAATAACCCAGTGTTGTGCTGGTAGGAGCCACCAGAATCGGAATCAGAGGAGGTTCTTTTGTTTTTTATTTTTTTGCATATGAATACGACATGATGCTAAAAATAACTTAGGATTTTATTTTTATGTCCCAGCTGTCCTCCTGTAAAAGCTGCGGACTGAAACGCATGAGGCCTTCCTTGGGGGTTGACTGGAGGAGTCTCATCTCGCAGCGCGTACGGCGGCGGCGGAGAGGCAGCGGCCGCGCCGACCTCGACTCGGTCAGTCAGCAAGGAGGCACAACACAGGTGCTGCGCAACAGAAAGCCACGCAGCAGTCAGCAGGGTTGCTGCGCTGCATTTTTGTGCCCTCAGTGACAAGAAGAAGAAGAAGGAGGAGGAAGAGGAAGAAGTAGTTTCGGTAGAGAAGCGCTGTGGGGCACGGGCCTGCGTCGGGACAGGGAAACCTACCTGACGGGAGGCGGACGGTGAGATATCCCCCTCGATGTCACGGGTCGTTCAGTCAAAACAAATCTGTCTGCTTTCTCTCCCGGGGTTACGGGACCAAGTAAAATCTTCAATTCCTAAAAACTGCGAAGTTTGGAGACATATTGTGCAAGACTCTCCCTCCAGACAAATGTGGCAAAGAGACAGGACAGAGTTTTGTTTTGATTTATATGAGCTTCCTAAGCTGAGGGAAATAGCCCTAATTGATGGCTTCTTTCACACATTAATTTACACTCTGTTACTTCCCATCACCTTCCTATCACATAAATGATGGCAGCAAGCAGACTCTGGCTGAGCGATGGAGCCTCCAGTGAGGTTGACTCACACTTAATTTTTCTGCTGAGTCACACCCATTGTTCTCTTCCTCTTTTTGTTCTCAAATTTGCACAGGGCAAACTTTTATCTAAATTTACCTGCAGCTGCGACAAAGATAATCAGGCTCCAATTTAGCGTTGAATAAGTAGCTTTTTGTCTTATTTAAAGAGCGATTCGGTTTCTTTTTTCCAAGCCAAGCAAACAAAACACCAGGGGGTTGAGAGTTGGCCTCCTGGTGGAAAAGAGGTAATAATCCCAACAACGATGCAGGCAGAGGTGGGTGGAGCACCCAAAAACTGAACTCGGGTAAGAGCAGCACTACTTTAACATCTTTATTCAAGTAAAAGTAAAAGAATATCTGCTAAAAAGTCTTCTCAAGTGAGGCAACAATCATTTAATATTTAAAAATTACAGCAGCAGAAGAATCAAAATATAAATGTATGTGGAAATGTTTGTATTTTAAAGACTAAAACAAAAATAATTCACTTAAATATCATAATTACTAAATAAAATCAGGCAAAATATTATGCAAACGAGGTGAAGATAGGACACTTTTTCTTTTTACAACTTTATAAGTTTTCAATACAAAACTAACAAAAACTGCAGGTGTGTGTCTGGTGAATGTTTGGTTGAAACATGTTTGTTCATTCAGTGAAGTTATTGTGGGTAAAGTATCCAGAAAGTTTACTCGAGTAAGAGCAGCGATACTTTATAACAAAGTTACTCAAGTAAACATAAATCATATAAAATACTCCTCAAAGTAAATTTTTCCGATATTATCTAGTTATTGTAAATGTGTCTAGTTACCAGCCCGCTGTGTGTGACTGGAGCGCTCAGAGGTCTGAGATCTGGATCCCAGTAACGCTTTAGGGAATCCACTCTCCATTGCAGCTGATTGATCCGACCCGTTTAGAGATCCGCTCAGTGAAAACACAGAGATCAATGACGGCTGAGTCCTACAAACGATCAGTGGGTACACTGCAAAACATCTGAGCCGCATTTAGTTGTGTTTAATGTTTTCTACTCTTTAAGTCAAATAAATTTAGTGAGTTTTAGATTTTGAACCTGAATGTGAGTTTGTGAAAGATAAACTGACAGTAGCAAGTTGTGTTAACTTTTTATTAATCGTGTCAAACCTGCAAGAATTTTTATGTTAGCACTTAAAAAACTGATAGAAGAAAAAGTGGAGTGGGAACTATTTCCCAGAATGCTTAGCGTTTTGTTTTTGATTCCTGAGATGGAAGTGCATTACATTGATCTGACTCCTTTGTTATTAAGGCAAATGTCTATTTTAAAGCTGGAGGATAACGTTCTGTTCACAATAAATGTTTTTAACAGAATTTATTATAATGTTTAATAAAATTCATCATCAGATCAGAAATTTTGTTAATGCAATTTGAAACAAGAATTTAAATTATTCTAAAGTAAAATAAGTATTTAATTTGATAATGTGAGTAAAATAGTAGAGACATGTGTCTCTTTAACTAGGTGAGAGCAGTTATTTTCTTGCACATTGTGAAATAATTATTTGGTTTAAATTGCAGCATTAAGTCAAAACTCACAATTTAAGATTAATGAACTTAAAAACAATGTTTAGACAACTTGTCTCTTGTTGTTAAATCAACTTAATTTCTGAGTTAAAACCAAAACTATTATCTTGTTGAGTTAAATTGCATTTTAACAGCAGCAGGTGGACTTTCATGTTCCAGTTAAGCCACCTTCAGAGGTTTTACAGTCTGGTTCTCCCTCAGATTGGCTGGTTCAGTTTCTCATGAAGAGCTTGACCTGCCAGTCTGTTATTGATCCAGGCAGTGAGAGCAGACAGGCCAGGCTGTGCTGCGTCAGGCTGCAGCCTCCTTTCTGGGGAACGCTCCCCCAGACGGAGGTCAAGCAGGCTGGGGAAGAATTAATCACACCTTGTTTCCTTGTCTGCGGGCTGTAGGGAAGTCACGAGTAAAGCTACACACTCCACAGAAACACAGCTGTGCTGGCTGCTTATCTCACAGTTCTCCCACCTTATCCATCTTTTGTTCTCTGCCTGACCTCTTGCTTTGTTTCTCTCTGCCCTGCGCTGATGTTCAGACAGGAAAAACAAATGCTTTACATGAAATAAACCACTGCAGAGGTTTAATATTCGGGATTAGAGAGGCGAACAGTGGATGCTTGGTAGATTATGTCCTACAAGAAAATTGCTGCTTTAGAGGGTCAATAAACCTTTTGTTCACTTTCAATTTTGTTTCATTTTCTAAACAAAATGTTTAAATACATTTATTTCAGAGTCCGTCTTAATATTTTCAGTTACAATCAAAATTTTTCAATGCCAGGAATTATTTTCAAATTCATTTTTAAAGGGGACCTATTAGGGAAAACACACATTTTGCTCATTTTTTATACTTTCATTTGTGTCAACTGCTTCTGAAAACAACCCAAATGCAACCCAGACATTTTTTGGGCAAAAAGTTAAAGTTTTTGGTGTCTGGAAAACTAAACGCTTTAAGAAACCTCCCATTTGTCCAGTCACATTTCTCGGGCAGAGTACTGTTGCCTAGCAACCCCAGCCAGGCCCAGACCCGTTACCAAGCAACCCAAGCAGAACTCCAGCACGTTTAATCATGGCACATATGCACCATTTCATAGCGCCATATGAGCTGTAGAGAATTGATTTGATGCTGAATTAACATTCAGAAACCACTGCAGCATTCTTGTTGGTTGGTTACGCAGGAGGCTCCACTTCTGCTTTTCAAAGATGCATGGTTGTATAAAAGCACATCTGTTTGGAGCCATTATATGTGTGAGTACATTAATATCATTTATATTATGTAACACAGTCTGTTATTGTTATAGTAAATTATCAAATTATCAATCATTTAATATTGAAAAAATTATACAATCAGACGGACTAATATATAAAGTTATGTGGAAATTTTGGTAATTTAAGTACGAAAATGACAATAATTCACATAAATGATAAAAATAAAACAAATCAGGCAAAAGAAAAAAATCCAAATTAAGTTTATTTCAATATAAAACTTATTAAACTTTTTTTTAACAAAAACCTCAGGTCTGTGTTTGGTGATTTTTAGTTTTTCCATTCAGTCAGTACAGAATCCAGAAATTTTACTCAAGAATAGAAATACTTTGTAATAAAATTACTCAAATAAAAGTGAAAAGTACAGCGCAGGAAAAAAAATACTCCTAAAAGTAACTTTTAAAAGAGCAAGTTACTCTCAAGTAGATGTAATTGAGTAAATGTAATTAGTTACTACAAAACTCAACCAAATTTTTAGTTTTTTTGTTCCTCTGTTCATTAAACTATAATTTTTATGGCTTTCAGCTCGTGTCAGTACTGGACTAATGAGACTCTCAGCAGCTTCAGCCAGGATCTTCACAAGGTCTTTGGTGACAATTATGGGCATGATGTGCACATTTCACACCTCAACACATTCATCTGGTTTTCCATGATCTCACAGGAAAGCCATGTGTTGCACAGAATCCATCTGCATGTGTTGAACAACCAACAAACCTGCATCCAACCCGCGACCATCAAACCATCATCACCAGAGCGCCACCACAAATGGCAGACACGGTGCACCTACGAGACTCAAACCCTTCAGCAAACGCCATCAAGAGCTCTCTGCAAAGCAGGTACCTGACAAACTTGTCACACACCTTTTCTTTAAGGGCGGCGAGTTTTTAAACAGCTGCAGAAAGTCAAAAAGCATTTGTGCTTCATGAGGAAACCTTAAAGACTTCCAAGCTTATCTGCCTTATTTGTCACATTCCCACTTTCTTCATCCTAGAAATTATCATCATCCACTCATCAGATAAGCAAGGCCGCGCTCAATAATACTCAAAATTTAAAGTACATAATTTAGATTAAATTTATATTGATTCCCATTTGTCTCGTTAATCGCTTGCCCTAAAAACTTTTTTTGAGGAATCAATAGGAAAATAGCTTTTTTTTTTTATTGCATTCTGCTATTCCTGTAAAACACAAACCAAACCCAGAGATGCTGAACCACAAGGCATTCTGGGACTTCTTTCATGCTCAAATGTCAGAGCGTTTCATTCTGATGATGATGACTCACTGCCCTCGATCCTTGTCTGCATGGGAGAACAACACCATTAAACAACGACCCGGCATCCTCACGTGAAAAACCACAATACTACAAACGTTACGCAATAACCCTGAGCTGAGTACTCATGCTTTAACAACTGAATAAATAAGACTTGTATGCATTAAGAACAGGATTTTATCATCTCTCTTACCTCCTCACACAGACATATTGGTGGTTGGGGTGGAGGGGAGATTTGAAAACAGAACAAGACTAAGCAGTCATTGACATGCTCTACTAGAGGCCTAATGGGCCCTGGGTAATGGCCCTCTCTGGGCTCCAGGAAATCCTCCCTCATGCATACATCAAAGCCGGGATTGAAAAGGATACAGAGTGAAAATGGAGGAAAGGAAAGAGATATCAGAGCCACACAGAGAGGGAAGGTGAAGGTGCACGTTTTGTTTAGCGTATAATTTTAAATCGTTACGAAAGACCATTAAAAAAACCGTTTGGTGAACTGAAGCTGGACGATTTGACTCATTCGAAGCGTTCTTATTCTTCGGAGTAACTCTGTTGTGTTTGAGATCTATTAGCAGATACTGGGCAGACCTACACTGCAAAAACACAAAATCTACCAAGTCATTTTTGTTTCTAATGCAAATATCTTAGTAAACTTGAAATAAGAGAAACCTGACTTACAAGTAGCTTTTCAGCAAGATATAAGAGCTTGTTTTAAGTCAATAATTTCTTAATATTTCACTGGCAGATTATTTCACTCGTAACAAGACATTTTTCTCATGTTATAAGTAAAATAATCTGTCAATAGAAAAGCTATGTTTTTCAACAATATTAAGTAATTGTTTACTTAAACTCCAACATCTTCCCAAAAAGTTTCTTAAACATTTGTTTTGTCTGACTTCAAGTGAACTAAGATATGTTCACTAGAAACTAGACAAATATTACTTGGTAGATTTTGTGTTTTTGCAGTGTTCTCTACATGTGGAGGTCACTCAGAGTGGGTCAAATTATAAACTTTATCATATTCTACTCAAAAACAATTTGAAGTAAAAAGCAAGTTAAGAATATTTTTCCCTTTGGGATCATTTAGTCGTGATGCCAGATTCAGCTGTTCATCAATAATGAACACAAGACAATTTGAAACTTAACTGTCATTACACTCATATACTGTATTTTGGTTCACTTTCACTTTTTAAAAGCTCCTAAACAGAACCTGTCCAGCAACATGAAGTAGGCCAAAAGATTTGTCTTGCCAGGTGCAGATTGAACTTTTAATCTCCTGGGTGGGTGTCGGTTTATGAGGTCTCTAAACAACTCCTCTCAGATATACAACACTCCTCAGCCTGAGAAAATAAATCCAGAATAGTATACAACTGGAAAGAAAAAGATGTAAGGGCGTCACATTTGCTTCTTAAAATGCTAGTGAGAGTTAAACGCTGCAGGTGCGTGATGACATTTCAGATGTTCTCATCGTCAGTCCAGCCCGTTCTCACCAATATTGTCCACCTGACTTTGCTGACACATTATTTGTCAGCCAGCTGCTGCAAAACAAGAACGGCGGCTCATCACCCTGCGACATCCACCGCCTCTCCTCTCACTGCCCATGAGCCATCTGCTTCATCTGCATAAAGCAGATCTGTCAATAACATCTAATTGTGATTCACACACAAGTGTTCAGTGTGACCCTGACTCTGTTTGCCAAAGTTTCCCCTGCAGACCACATACGACGAACGCCTTTGTGCGCAGCTACGTTCTCAAATGAATCTATTTCTATGTGGAATCTTTTGGGGTTGAATTCAGTGAAGAAATCCTCACCCACGTTCAGAAAACGCTGGGACCTCCATGTGTCCTACTCAGGGAAGTGGAGCATGTAAAACCTGCCGCATTCGCCGTGATTGTCGCCTCTTCCTCCAATTTAACCTTTGACTTCTGTTCCACCGGCTGGCGGGACGTGTCTGAGAAAACGTTTCAGTAGTTGAGAGCATCGTTACACTGAGGAGAAAATGAAGTATGAGCTGCCTCACAGTGCCACGCTGACATTAAATTATCCTTCAACAGTTTAGCGGCGAGAACGGTACTAAGTGCCATCGCATAACGCGTTAAACGGTGTCGGCACTAAAGAGACAAAACTAACAGGCCTGTGCAGCCTTCGGTGGTTTGATAACTCGAGCAGGTGGTTCCATCTGGCCTAGACTTCTCTAGTTACTGTGGCGCGCACAGACAAGGACCCGCCTCGCCATCAAATTAGAGTCAATTTTAATTGGCATTAAGGCTGGTGATAAGGTTTTAATGAAGGAATTAACAGATAACACAAGTGGAGTTCTGCAGCTTCAAACTGAGTCACTTTATGAAAGACAAACACACAGATTTTACAAACTGAGTTCAAAATGTTGAAGGAAGTGACAAATTTACTGGACAAATCCAGACTGTGTAGATCCGGGTTGTCAAAAGTGTGGCTTTTTACCCACAGAAAATAAAAGTATTTTCTGTGGGTAAAGTACATTTTATCAGGACGGAAACAGATTCACCACGCTGACAATTTATTGCTTGAATTTTAAAATAATTTGATGTCAAAAGCAGAAACTGCAGATAAAAAACATACGTGGTAACAGGAACAAAATAAAGTGAAACTGGAGACGTTTACGTCCCGTTTCCAGCTTGGTGAAATGGAAATGAAACAGGTTTGAGTTCGAGAAGTCGTTTCTGTCGGCTTCAGGATTTCTTCTGACGCAGTAACACAAATCAGATGTCTGATGGAAACAGGCAGTCGCACACAAGCCGTTTCCTGGCAATTTATCCAGATTTTTATCCTATCATAATATATAAATACACATATAAAAATACATAATGCATCGCTGCAGCCAATTACCATCAAAAATCTCAATATTACCGAACAAACCCCAACTGATTTTATCCCAGTATGAATATGACTGAAGTTTCTCAGAATGAATTAATAAAGAAAAGGAAAAAATAAAGACCAGTTTGGGTTATAAAAGATCATCCCAGGCTTTCCACACCTCACAGATGTTCCATTGTTTAGTCCAACATCTAAAATGGAAACAATATACGGCACACCTGTAAACCTACCAAACATGGCCTTCCTCTGAAACTGACGACTGTGCAATGAGAGCATTAATTTAATAATCAAGAGGTAGACAGCTAAGGCAAGAGGATGTGTTGACTACAATGTTTTATAAGATAAAAGTCACTGCAAAAGGAAATCTATGAAATCTGGTGGATAATGTTTTTATTTTTAAAGTTTGGATAGCAGGATGAATGGAAATATAGACTAAAAACAATTAAAAATAAGAATGCAAAAGTCTTTAGACTGAGGCAGGACAATGACACAACCAGTATACAACGGCCTAGTCAAAGTCCAACTATTCTACTAAAAAAAAGAAAATCGGTGTAATTATGAATGCAAACCATATTTTTCAGATTTTCATTTTGCATCTTTTTCCTTTCCTTTTCACTGTGCAACTCCCACATAAAACCCCAATAACTCTACATGATAAAATGCAACAAAACAAAAAAGTACTTTTTCAGGACACTGCAAAATGAACTATAAGTTGAGTAAAACAACCACCGTCTGGTTCTATGATCTGTGATGTTTCCTGGTCTGAATGATGTCTGCAACGTTAAAATAAATTTACAAATAGAAGAGCTAACCAGGCAGGTGAGACCCTTTGTTCTTATTGGGGAAGCTCCTTCTGAGCACCTAATGAAGCCTGCAGTTTAAATCTCCCCTTATTACAGCTAATGGATTGTTTATGTGGTTATTTTATCCCTGGCTTAGAAAAGTATTGCATAAATCCTCATTGTTATCAGTGTTATTACCGCATCACCTCATGCATGTAGGGATAAGCAGTATTACAAGAATCGGTAATATACAAAGATAATTAGGATGTACGGATATATCCACATAAATGATTGTCATTTTTGTTCTGCTCAATATTTGTTTGTTTTTTTCTCTCCGCCTCCTGCCGAGCTGCGATTTTAGGCTTTTTCCCAGAAATGTGTCTGACAGAGAGAGGCAGATGCTTTCCTGTCCTCCCAGAGGAGACTGAAACACATGTGGATCGTCGCTAGGCTGGTCATATTAAACACACCATGTGCACACTGCATGTGACTGTGTGTGTGTCTGCATGTGTGGAACGAACACAGTCATGGAGTGAGACATCTAGTGGCAACCTTGCAGCACTTCAACAACAAATACGTCTAAATAATTTAAAAAACCTAACTTGATTTTTTTTTTATCTGTCTAATGCAGTTTTAAAGAAAAGGGGGGGGGGAGGCAACCTTAATTTGTGTTTGCTTCTATTCACAGTATGTTAGCAGGATTGTGGATATTGTTGCAGTTTGATACCATCTTCCCCTGCTGTCATAACAATAGCTCTTGCGGTTGATATCATTTGTCAAGCTATCAGTGGCAGAATATGGTCCACTGCTCCCATGAGGCTGCAGACTTGATACACTGCTGCTGCTGTTTAGTTTTTTGTTCTGTTTTTGTTTTGTTTTTTTTACCTTTGGTGTCTTCTTTCATCTCTGCAGTTGATTCTGGAGTTCAGGCTTTCATTGCCCTCTGCACAAAACCTGCATGAATGATGCAGCAGAAGGAGGATCTGTGAGCAGAAAGGCAGAGTTTAACTCAACTCGTCTAATGGGCTGATAGGCATCTGAACGCAAAACAGCCGCATTCCTGCATATTCCCCATTACCATGGAGATGGATTCATCGTCTTTTCTACATTTTAACAGATGTAGCGCCTACTGGCAACGTTGAAGGAAAATACAAAAATAAAAAAACTTTCCTAAATTGTTTCCCATCAGGAATATTGACATTCTGAATGTGACGTCACGCTCTCCAGAACTCCGCCATGACGGGCGTCAAAACAACCAAAGCCTTTAATAAAGCCCGTCAAAAAACAGACATCTGCAACCTAGTATCGCTTCTATTTAGTATATTTCACTTCAGAAATGGTCGTAGGGGTGCTGCACGAACAGACAAGGACAGAAACCAAACATTTTATAATAACTTTTAATGAGTTAAAATTGATAGCAGCATCAATCATATGACGTCAGCCCTCGGCGTAACCGCGGTTTGCAGCGAACGCTTTTCACAAGGTTCGATTGCAAAAAAAAATAATAAAAAATCGCAAAATCACGAAGAGACTGATCAATCTGAAAAGATGTTCAGTATTGTTTAATTGATTAATATTTCAACAGTTTGCTAATGGGTTTTTTCAATGCATTCTGGCACAACCAGCCCTTTAAAAATATTCATCATCTTGATTTGGTCCAAAATGAAAACAAGTTTGACACTCCTGCTCTACAGCCAACGCTAACATGAATGGTCCAGTCAAAGTTCAGGCCAAGTTCCATTAGAGAACAGATGAGAAAAACATAAGTTCTCTCCATCCTGTTGGACTGAGCTTGAACTGCACCACAAAGAAACACTGGAAACAATATTCAGCGCCTTGATGGGAAAAGCTCGATGCCTTTAAAACCAGCTGTAATTACAGTAAACGACGGTTCTGCAGTGCGAGTCCTGAAACAGAAGGACTGAACGTAAATGCATTCAGCAGCCAGGTATTTTGCATAACCGATGTTTCCTGCTGCATGTGAACACATTTCAAAACACTCTCTGAAGTGGAGATGTTTTGCAAACTGTGCAGCGTATCCAAGAGGAATTTACAAACAGAAACTATTATGGCTGATGAAGTAGCTTTCCACCTGCTCACCGCCGTTTCCTGTGTGAAAGCACGAGAACACCGGAGCTGATCTGAGCTGTTTGCACTTTGTTCCGACTCCAAATCAAACTTCAAATGTGAGCTGAAAATGTTTCTGAGAGAAAACTGTAAACAGAGTGATTAAATAAAAAAAAAAAGCCTCAACAGTCTCCGAACAATCTTTAGCTGCTTTAAGGTACTTTTATTTTAGACATTATCACCTACTGAACTTGAAGAATTCAATCAGTGAAGACAGTTTAGATATAAATCTGACTTTTTTCATTAATAAGGTGACTTTTGAACTCTTTCCACACCATTTTTGTAATTTTTATTACTAAATGGGAGTACAGTGGGTTCAAATCCCACCTTGTTTTTCTTTTTCTTTTTGCATGGAGTTTGTATGTCCAGATGAGAACCAGTTCTCCTGGAAAATCCATGGATGGTTGGACCAGAGAACAGTGTAAGTGATTTTATCTGCATGCTCCAAAGATCATGAAACATCCAAACAGGCCTGCAAACTTCATAAATAAAGCTTTAAAATCAAAATATTCGATTTGCCTTCAGTGTCAAAATGATTTGGTGAAAAATTAAGTTTCTGTTTTAAAAGATGAAGCAGGGAAATTAAAGTTTTTCCTAACTCTGTTTTCTTCTTCCATTCATGGAAACTCCTACAAACAAACTTCAACACTGCATAGGAAACCCTGCAACAAGATTCTTATTATTAGGTTAAATCCTAGAAAAATATGAGGAAATTTTGATTTGTGAGATAAAAACCACGAAAAGCTGTCTTTAAGGAATCAGTATTATGTGATTTTGAGCTTCACATCATGTTTTAATGTTACTCTCTCATCAAAAACATACCTAGAGTGTCACCTTGGTCTTTTCATCTCCATGGCAACCCATTCAGTTGCACAAAACGCTTAAGAGAACCTAGCTCCGCCTTCGAGGACGAAGCTCCTCCTCGTAGCTGCCGCGTCCAACTTTCCAAGCTTCCCCCTCACAAAGCAGCCCTCTCTCCCACTCAGCTCCTTCAGACTAGCCAGCATCAATTAGTAAACACCTGGTGCAACTGCACATACAAATCTGTTAAAAATGTTATGTGGTTAATAGAGGACAGATGTTATGATGACTTCCTGAAGATGGAGATTCTTAAAGGGACAGAGGCCTAATTTCAAGGTGTTAAATTACAAAGTCACATTTATTTTAAGTAATATTTGATATTATCAGCCTTTTATAGCATCTGACTTCAACATAATCCCTGATTGTGCTATAAAATGTTAATATGTGGCTGGATAACGCATAAATCTGCCCCTTTAGCAGGTTGTTTCATCTGCAGGTGTGTCCACAGACAGTCGTCGTGGTTACAGCAAAGATAAACGGGTCTTAGGTTACATGCTGCCTGTTTGAGCCTCTTCATGAATCTCCAGCCTCTTTGTTACTACTAAGCTGGAAGGCGGGACCTGACAGCAGAGAGGCAGACAAGAGATTAAGACCTGAATCAAAAAGCAGATTAATGCTGGTGTGACAGTGTGTGTGTGTCACTGCTCTCAGCCCAAACAGATCACCTAATAGAGTAAATATGTCACTTTGAATACTACTCCTGGTTTCTCCTGACGTAGTGTCGCAGCAGCCGACCAGCAGCGGTTAAACAAACACGCAGACATTCGTCTACGATTCGCACGCTTTCCTAAAATATCACATCAAAGCTGGAAAAGCTGATGCACAATTATCCCCATGCAGCTTGAGGAACGCTGTGATGCAGCAAATAGTTTGAATGTTGCAGCAGCTGCGTGAAAGGTTGCTGAGTGCGCCAACATGCGCAGGGCGCATTGGTGGAGGCGACAGCGTGGCAGCAGGTGTGCAGGACGGCACCAGCAACAGGTTTACTGGGTGACGGGGCAAAAACAAAAGGCACACCTTGAATTTAAATCCCTCCTCGGATGTTTTGATAATTGAGTTCAACTCCAACGAGCGAGAATAATGAGTGGGCTTATCAGAAAATCCCGTGTCTGGGTCGCCTCAAGCACGTCTTGGACTGCAGTGCAAAATCCTCACAGAAACCTGATCGCCTTCCCTGCAGAAGATTGAGCAAGTAATTAAGATAATAGAGCAATAAAGCACTTATTTCCACCAATTAAAATGAACTGACCAAACAGCTGGACTCGTGTACTATGACGATATAAAGAGAAAAACTGATAAAAAAAGGTTTAGATGAAACCTTACAAATATTTTCCTACCTGATCTGTTAAACTCCAGCAACACATTTCAGTTAAATCTACCAGACTATGTGACAGACTGAATTTTGCATAATTTTGAACTGAGTATAACTATTCAGTTACATTTACTTGAGTAATGTAACTCAAATAACACTTAATTAATGTTACTTGAGTAAATGTTTCTTTGGGGGGGAAATATGCTTAAGAGTAATTTTACTGCTCTGTACTTTTAACATTTACTTGAGAAATTATAATTTCTTATAAAGTATTGTTGCTCTCACTTGAGCTACATTTCTGGATTTTCTACCCTCAGAATGAAGGACAAACTTTTTTTTTTATCATTTACTGCAGCTTTTGCCAAAGTTTTACAAGTTTTATAATAAAATATACTGATTTGGAAAAATGTTTCTTTTGCCTTAATTTGTTATTTTGTAATTATGAATCGTCTTCATTTTGGTCTTTAAAATACCAAAATTTCTGCACAACTTTTTATTTCAGTCTGATGATGTAATTTTAAAATATTAATTCATGTTTTGATCAGTTACTCAGTACTTTCACTTACTTGAGTTATTTCTTGGGCGTCTTCTTTGTACTTTTACTTGAGTAACTTTAGGGTACTCTACCCGTCCTTGTAGTAAACCCACTCTTTGTCAAAACTTTGTGGAAAAACACACAAGAAATGTTTTGTAGCATATTTCCAAAACCAACATGGCTGTCACAGTAAAAAAGAAACACAAAAAAGAAAGAAAAAAAAAACACAAATGCAAAATGGCTGAATATTTTGGAACAAGATTTGTTAATTTATTTTAGAGTGGAAGGAATCTGCTTTTGAAGTGGCATAACTCACTAAAATTAGCTCGACTCTGGAGGGAAAACAATTCTCTTTTCCTTCTCTAATCCCCCAAATCCTCACTGAAGCTAAGCAGGAACCTGAAGTAGCTCAGACCGGGCCGCACAGCCTGGTCTGCAGCCAGCAGCAACATTAAGAAAAAAGAAAAATAACAGCGAAACCTTAAACCGTTTACTCACAATCAGATTTGCATTCTGAAGAGAAGTGGTAAAAAAAAACCAAACACGAAGGACAGAGAGTTCTGATGATCTGTGTTGTTTCTACAATACCGTCATGAAAAGCTTTCAGATATTGCAGGATGACTCAGCTGACCATCTCGCTCGTTTCCACATCTCTGTGAACCGATGGCTGCGGTTCTGCACCACTGGGCTCTCAAATCTGCATTCATCTTCATGAGAGGCCGACGCGCCGCAACGCCATTTTACTATTCATCTCCAGATAACCGTGGACAAACTATGGCTGTTGACAGTCGGATCACATCCGAGGTTTTCTGTACACATCACGAGTCAGTGAGAGCGCTCCAATTTTTCAACCCATTTACTGTTGTCTTTTAATGGATGTAAACACAGATGTTATTCATTTATCAAGAGATTTCCTTGGATTTATCACTGTTTGTCTATGAGGGATTTCATTTAAATGAGGATGTTGTATTTGTGTTTTCTGCTGATGCCCAGAGGCCGTAGACTGATGTTAGCTGTCCAATTTGAAATATCACACGTATGTTACATTATTATTATTATTACTTTGGGGGAGGAGGGGTATTTACCCAAACAAGTGAATGAATTTAGATGTTTTCCTGTTTTATTTGTTTCCTGTGTTTAGAGAAGTGGTTACAGAGCT